GCACCGCGCTCTTGGTTCCTAGGTGGCTTTGGCCCAACAAGTGTGTATGTTTCCAGAAATGGGGGAGGTATGATGAGATACGTTGAAACCTTTCTCTCAATACTTTGTACTCACCTGTTCTTACTCCTCAGCCTCGTTTTCATTTCTTCATCCAGTTATTCAATGCATCGTGCAGGGTGTTATCATGAGACAGCAGGTACGCATCAGAAGGTAAACAATTGAAAATGCCTGGGCGGCTCAGCCGGTGGCACACCCGACTCTTGGTTTCGGCTCAGGTCGTGCGTGATCCCAGGGTTCTGGGACCCAGCCCCACCTCGAGCCCCGTGTTGGGCTCTGTGCTCAGCATGGAGCCTGCTTGGGGCTCTCTCTCCCTCTCCTTCTGCCCCTCCCCTGCTCGCGTGCACTACCTCCCTCTAGATAAAAAAGTAAAATGAGATCAAATGGGTAAAATGCATCCAGTGTATCGATGTTTAGTTGTCTCTTAAGGTAAAATAACTTTGCTTCTGTTTTTACATTTTAATGATAACTACCTTTTGTTCATTATTAGTGACTGTGCTAGAGACTTTATATGCTGTTTTATTAGGATTTCACCACCATAAAGAAGACAGGCTGACAGTAAAAGTTGTATGCGGTACAGAAAGTGAGATGTGAAGTCTTCTCCACCCTTTCAGGATTCGCAGTCCAGCTCTCCAGCGGGAAGACCTTTTCTTAGGTCCTTCTGGAAACTATCTGTGTATCCTGATCATATGTGTATCCCCCCCCCCCTTTTTTTAACGAAATGGGTAGAGTCATACCGTACAGGCTGTTCTGTGGGTAGGCTTTATTTGTGTCAAGATGGACTTTGGACTTCTTTCCATCGCATAGCTTGATCTAGCTCGTTCTTTTTTAATCGTGCAGAATGCCCAAGGTACAGATAGGGCAGAATCCGAGTCTGTTACTGAGGATATTTTAGTGCTTCCAGTTTTCACTGGCAGACGGTGGTGTGGTCTGTAACAACCTTACCTGTACGTCTGTCTTTACGCATTGTTCAAGTGTATCCAAAAGAGAACTTCCTAGTACTATTGTGGGTCAGAGGGTGAGGGTGTTTAAAATTCTCATTAGCGTTTCAAATTTAACTCTAAGAACCAAGGCTTAGAGACTGTAAGAGTGTAAATCATTTGACCCAGGTTCTCCAGGGTAGAAACTGGTAGGGTCAGCTTTCAAACTTAGATCCACTCACACCGTTTCTTCTAAGCTACAGATGTCTTCAGCTGTTGTTTTAAAGCATAATTTTGGCTTTAAAGCCAGGAAGCGTTATTCCTTATCTTTTTATATTCTTAACGCTCAATCCAGCAATTATGATAATTCTTCCATTATAAATACACAGCCCTTTATGGTTTTGTGTATTGATTTTATATCCTGCAACTACACCGAATTCATTTATTCTAACTTATTATTATTATTTTTTTTTTTGGTAGAATCTTTCAGTTTCCTATATATGGCATGTCACCTGTACATAGTGACAGTTTTACTTCCGTTCTGATTTGGACTCCTTTCTTTCGTTTTCTTGCCTAACTGCTGTGGCTGGGACTTCCAAGACTGTGTTAGAATGGGTGACATTAGACCCCCCCCCTTTTGTTCCTGATGAAGGAAAAGCTTTCAGCCTTTCACGACAGAGTGTGCTGTTAGCTGTGGGCTTGTCATATGTGCCTTCTATGTTGAGATGTGTTCCCTCTGTACCTGCTTTCTTGAGAGTTTTTATCCAGGTGGATGTTGGATTTTGTCAAAAGCCTTTTCTACACCTGCTGGGACGACTGTATGATTCTTACCCTTCAGCGGGTGGTGGTGGTGGGTCATGTTGTCTGACTTGTGAGTGTTGGACCCTCTTGTATCCCTGGAATAAATCCCACTTGATCACGACGTGTGATCCTCTTAACGTATTGTCGAATTCAGTCTGCTAATATTTTATTGAGGATTTTTGCATCCATGTTCGTCAGGGACGTTGGCCTGTAGTTCTCTTTCCTTGCGGTGCCTGGTCTGGTTTTGCTGTCGGGAGAACACTGGCCTCGTAAGATGGCTGTGGACGTGTCCTTCCTCCTCTAGCCCTTAATGATTTTCAGCACATTTTTATTTGCTCGTCGTGGTCCTAGGACAGACATGGGCATCGGTTGTTATCCTGATTAATACATGTGAAGACCCGAGGCTCAAAGAAAAGCGAAATTAAAATTTAAAAAGTAATCAGAAGACAGTCCTTGGCCAGAGGCCGCGTGGCCCCCCAAGTGCCAGCGCACGCAAGACAACGATGCTGGTAGACAAGTGAACCGAGGGCTTGGGACTGGTTGCTTTGAATGTATTGAAACTGGTGTGTTATGTTCATGAACAACAGGAAAATACACTGAAACTTCTGGCCGTGCGGCCCTATCGCACCCCACGCCGGTGCCTCAGGCTTCCTCTTGGCTGAGTCCGCGTGCCGTGGCCCCGAGGAGAATGGGCCGTGACCGCGGGGTGGTTGTTCACAGGCGCCCACCGTATTTGACCCCAAACTGGCTTTAAACTTCACCGGAAGTACTGCTTCACGCTTTCACGATCGCGTGTACATTTGTCACCATAGTGTCATCTTACCATGTTGGCTCTTCCTCTGTCCCATCAGCTTTCCTGTTAGCTCTCTCTGTCTTCGGCTCAGACCAAGTTTTTTTCTCATCTGTCTCAGTGTTAAAGAAAGATCTTTCCCTCTGTGGACATAGGTTCATGCTTGACTTCAGATCAAACCTTTGCTGTCTTCCTGGCCACCTGAATTCCTATACGAATGCATCTACCAAACTTAATTCATAGACATTTCTTAGAATAATTTCTTTTCTGTTTTTGCTCATAATTATTTTTTACTTGAAATTCACAACTTATTTATAAGGTCAATTTGATTGTTCCTGTTTTATGATTAAAGAGACTGAATCGTAGAATGTTCACATGACTTACTTCAAATACAAGCCAGTCAGAGTTCAAATTATTCTTTATTTCCACCATCAGAAGACGTCTCCAAGTTAAGGAACAGGTTATGTTCCAAAACTTCATTTGTAAGTCGGATATTTGGCACTGTACTGCACTTTACCAAAGTGGGGGACGTGTTCCAAGGGCGATGAGGCCCCCGCTGCCCTTCAGAGATCTCTTTAGCTCTTATGTAAGGAGCACATGAAGCATTTGCAGCAAAAATAAGAGAATATGATCATTGTGATTCTGGTCACAAAGTTCTCCGTCTTGGGAGAAGCATCCGATTAGAAGATGGGGAAACAGGTGGAATTGGAGAGTCCGCGGGGGCATCAGGCCACGGGGAGGGCGGTCACAGGCCGTGACGTTCTGTCTGAAGCCCAGTTTCTTGTTAAACCGAGGATTTGGGTTATTGTTAGATAGTTGGCATGGCATGACTCCCCCGCCAGCTGTGATTATTGGCATCTGTGGGATTGATGGAAAAACAGACTCTGAGGATAGTAACACACCTGATGGAAAAAAACAACCCCAAAAACCAGAGAAGGTGTCCCCTTTGATCCCCTGGCTGGAGGGGAGGGAGGTCTTGGGTCCCCAGGAGCGGGGGCTGCTGTGCTGGGTCCTGCAGAGAACGTGAGCGTCCTGGGTGGAGGGTGAGGGGCCGTGACTGCGTGTGGATTTGTCCCAAGAGTGTCCAGTGCCGGGAGCACGGATCTCACACAGCCAGGCCGCTGTGCGTTCCGGCAGACCCACAAGCATCAGAGGGTTCAGTTGGCTTTGAAAAAAGTCTAGCGCCCCTTTGACATCCTCTGATGTAGGTCTTACTGATTCTGGAATATCTGCGTCAGCTTTTTTGTTGTTATAGCAAAAGGGGGGATACATTCTTCAGCAAAAGGAAGCTGAGGTGACAGAACCTCCCTGAGGTGGCCTCGGGGTGAGACCCCGCCTCCAGGTGGCCTCGGGGTGAGACCCCGCCTCCAGGTGGCCTTGGGGTTTGACCCCGCCTCCAGGTGG